GGCGGCGGCGGCGGCGGCGCGGGCGGCTCCGCGCCCCCGAAGAAGCACGTGTGGTAGACGGCGTCGTCCGTGTCGCCCCCGGGCCGCCGCGCGGCCCCGCGGGGACCCCCGGGCGCGGCCAGCAGGGGCCCGAAGGGCAGCGAGCCCGGGAGCAGTCCGGCCCCGTACAGGCAGGAGCGCACCGACTCCAACGTGTCGTAAATGCTCGGGTCCTTCACCACCAGGCCTGCCAGGGCAGAGGACACAAGGGCGGGCGGTCAGAGGGCACGGGGAGGGGACCTCCGCTCCTTCCTGCTGACCATCCGTGTGGCCCCTGGCCTAAGCCCCACTTCCCTCCCCTGCACAACAGGATTCTACACTCAAGCCCTTAGGAGGACCACGGGAAACACAAGGGCCCCGGAAGGTGTCTGAAACTGGCTCATTGAGCCTTGCTGTTCCCATCTGTGAAATGGGATGATACTAATGCTTACTAGCAGAAGGCTATTGTGAGAATGAACTAAAAATGTGTGTGCAGTTAAGTAGCCCAGGGCAGTGTTGTGCCCGAAGTAGTAGCTCAACAAACCTTTCTTCACTTTGGCCAGGGAAGTAACCCCCTCGCTCTGAGGGGGAAGCACGAAGAGGGGTATCAGTAGGGCAGAAGGGGCCCTTTGCAGCCCGAGTCCACTCACCATGCACCAGCCGCTGCTCTTGCACCATTAAGGACCTGTATTCTCCCCACTTCTCATACAGGGTTTGCTGCAAGAGACACCCCCCGCCTCACTGTCAGGAGCTAGCAAGAAACAAGCAGGAGGTGGGTATAGACAGACTGAGGGGCCAGGCAGTACACAGAAGAAATCTTAAGGTTAAAAGCAGGTTCAGACAGGAAAATGGGCCTCTACAAAAAAGAGTGAGGCCTGGGCGGTGGGGGGTAGGGGCTTGGGAAGAAGAGGGTGGAGGCAGAACATTATCTGGGCTGCTTTACCTTCAGGTACTGCAGACGGGCCTCCAGTTCGGCCTTCCGAATGGACGTTCCATACAGAGTTTCCAGCCTGAGGAGGTTGGGGGTTGGGGAACCAAAGGCTGAGTGAGCCCACAGGGCGAGGAAACACTGAGAGAAGCTGAGCTCAGGAATCCTCAGGGACCGTGGCCCCCGGACATACCTGAGGACGTTACCGGACGCCTTAATGATGTCAACGATCTCTCGATGCCGGATGCCTTCCACGTTCAGGCCATTGACACTGGCGATGGTGTCCCCTGCCAGGCAGAGAGGGGGGTCAGCATCTGTTCCTTGTGGCATGATGGAGGAATTCCAGTCCCCTACCCGAGCCGGAAAGGGTCAGGGTAATAATCCCACAGAACACTCCTGAGCTCCCTCCCACCACTCCTCATGGTTGTGGGGAAACCTCCTCCTGGCCCAGCACCCCAGCGCAGGGGTCAGGCCCTCCTATACCTACACCTTCACCCCACCTTCAGGAAACCGTCCCCAAAGACTGAGCCCTCTCAGCAACCCTGGGCTGCCCCTGGAGCTGGTTACTTCTGTCTAGCCCACAGGCGGTCATGAGACCCAGCCAAGACAGGAAGGGGTCAGGATGAGTAGCGCACAGCTGGGAACTGACACTGGCCCCCGGCATGCGAGGCCTCAGCTTCTGAGACCCTGTGCCATCGCAGAACCTCCTGACTTCAGGCAGGGCAAGCCACCATCTCTGAGGGCCCATTTCCCATCTGTAAAAAAGGGGTGTGGCTCCCTACTGTGGCTACTTCGGGGATCAGGAGGGAGAGTGGATACGAAGGTATTTTGCAAAGTTGCGGTACACCACTTGGCTACCAGGAGCCCCCGGTGAGTGCGCATGGAGGTGGGGGCTTAGGGAAGAAAGTGGTGATAGAGTGGGGGAGGTGGTCAGTTCATACTGTCTCAATCCCCTTCCTGGGACCAGGGGGCTCTAGATTTGGCCAATCCCAAGGGTCCCCTGCTGGAGGCACCCTATCATTTCCTTGTTGGAGGAAGTAACACAGGTACCCCTGAGTTGGGCCAGGTCGGTGCGGGATAGGCTCTGATCTCCAACATCAAGCAAATCGAATGGAATGTTGCACCTTCCCCAGTTCCTGCCCTGGGCTGGATGGCCTGATTGCCAGGAGTCAAAACACCAGCAGCAACATCTGCCATTTATTTGCAGGCCCTGGCTCTGTGCCTAGGGAACCCCTGGGCATGTTATTGCCCCCATTTTGCAGATGGGACTGCTCGATATCACACAGTAAATGGCAAATCTGCCTCGATCCAAAGCCTAGATTCTATCCACTCTTCTTTTTGGCCTTCTCAAAACAGGAGGAGGAAGGGGAATTGATTTTGGAAGAGATTTCTCACCCCCTCTGCGTGGGGGTAAGGTCATATCACCTTCCTGGAGCCCTGTGTCCTGGGCTCAGACCTCACCTGGTGTGAGCCCAGCCAGCTGGGCAGGGCTGGACTCATGGACCCGGCAGACAAAAGTCACCATTTCCACGCGCTGCTCCTCCCGGTGGTGAAGGCCGTAAGTCTGTAAGAGACAAGGGGACCATCGGCCAGGGGTGTGGCAGGGGCCAGCCATCCCTCAGACTGGCCTCCCCATCCCTCACTCCCTCTGTACCCAGCTTCTCCCACCTGGATCTCAAAGCCGAAGGTCTGGTTCTCCTCCTTCTCCAAAGTCAGCACTTTCCTGCAAGGGGACACGGGGGCCATTTCAGGACTGTCAGGATTCAAAGGAGCTTGGTGGTCCCCTAGCGTGGCCTTCCACTGATGTTGGGGTCTGCTCTAGAACACCCAGGCAGGGCTCTCGGTCTCCAGCGACAACTCACTCTCATCACAGGTTGTTGGAATGCCTGTCCCAATGCCCAGCCGAAGTCAGCCTCATGGAGCCACAGAGAATCAATCTAGCCTCCAGTGCACGGAGGCACTGCAAATGGCTGGCCCCCAGAGGGAATGGACTCTCAGAGCTTTTGAGCCACTCCTCCAGCTTTCTAGTGAGCCCTAGAGTACCACTCACTGACTTGCTGAGGCCCCAAATTCGGCCCCAGCCCTGAGCCTCTCTACTCCGCAGCCTTGGGGAGAGGGCTGGCCCCACCCTCGGAGGCCAGTCACGAGGCTCAGCCCAGACCACAGCTGCTCCTCCCAGCTGCAGCGGGCCAGCCCACCAGATGTGAGGCTGGGGGGAGGGGAGCCTCGAGGCCGCCCCTTCCCGCACTGAAGGCCTGCCCACTGGACACAATGGTCTGGAGCCGCTCCAGATCCTCGCCCGCTGGGGGAGCCCAGAGTTTCCTCTGCCCACCCCCACCCCCTTCCTTCCCGCCCCGCCAGAGGCAGAGTGAAAGCAGCCTCCGGAGGCCTCTTCAAGTCTCACAGCCTCGGAAAGGCCTTTGAGACCCAGGCCCACAGCTCCCAGCCTGACCTAGATGCCCCCCAAATGCTGAGAAGCAACTCCCAGCCCTAACTTGAGCTCCTCCCCGCTGTGAAGGGAGGCCTTCCTCCCCTCTGTGTGTGTTGTGCGTTGGGCTGGGGAATAAGGTGACTGAAGTTATGTGTTACCCCAGTGTTCTCTGGGTTTCTTCAAGTGTTGGCAAACTTTTTTCTGCAAAGGGCCAGGATAGTACATATTTTAGGCTTTCTTTGCGGGCTCCATTCGGCCTCTGTCATATATTGTTCTTTGTTGTTATTTTTACAACCCTTTGGAAATAGAAAAACAGCTCTTAGCTCGAGGGCTCAACAGGCCAATCTGGCCATTAGGCTGTAGTCTGCTGATCCATTTTAGAAGCCAGGCCCCAATCTGCATGAGACTGAGCAATGTGGGGCCTGAGGTCAGCGCCTACTTCTGCCCTCACCGCAGATGCTTCCGAAGAGGGACACCCCAGGATGGGAGCAGCAGACGACTGAGCTCCTGGAGGCAGGGTCACCAGACTCCAGCAGCCGGGCTAGGGTCTGGGCCCCGGGACTTGCTGGGGCCGGGAGAGCTCAGGGGAGCCCTAAAGACTTCCACTTCTCCACCTCCCAGATCCAGATCTCCTCAGGGAGGGGTAACTGGCAGGGACTGGGGGTGGCATGAGGAGCACCTGATGACTCAAAAGTCCCTACCTCCTTTCTCTGCCACCCCCTTAACACAGCCCACACCCCCACCTGCCCCTCACTCTTAGTGAGGGAAGCATGCTGAAAGAATGAGTCCCCCTGGGCTGAGGGCTATGTCGGGCAGCCGTCCACACCCACCCCAGCACCTCACCCGTGTGGACCAGGGCAGGGGCTGGGACGCTAGTGACTCACCGCTGCTGTTCAGGACTCTGGCCGAGATGCTTCCAGCGGAATCCGGAGCCCTGGGTGGGAAGACAGAGAGGAAGGAGCAGGTGAGAGGGGGACTGTCCTCGAGCGGAGGCTGAGAGTCCTACTCTGCGAGGTCCCTCCCCTGGGCTCCAGCCCTGGACCCAGCACCTCACTTCCTGTCGCCTGCCTGTCTGGTCCCAGTTCCATACCTGCTTTGGCGCCAGCGTAACTTTGCCAAATGCCCCTCCAGCATCACTGCACGGAGGTCTCCCTCAGGCTCTACCCCATAAGTGAGACTGAGACTGTGGGGACACAACAGTCCTACTGGGTTCCAGATGCAGGAACCGTGTAAGCACTGTGCTAGCCCAGGTCGGCGGGGGGGGGGGGGGGGGGGGGGGGGGGGGAACAAGGGGGACTCATTAATCTAGACAGAATAATCTCTACCCTCAGGGTGTATGTCTGCAGGACTCAGACCTTTCAGACTCTGAAAGCTGAGGCAGGGGAACCCTGGACTTACCTACCAAGGTACTCCAGAGACTACCCCCCCCCCCGCCCCACCGCCATTGGGCATCTCCTCCTATTTTCTCAGTCCTAGACAGTGACTTGGGGGAGCTGGGGTCAGAGACCCAGGTCTGGAGGGCCGGCAATCCCAGCCTGAACATGGAAAGTCAGGGGACAGTAGGGCCAACCCTCCTCCCCAAAACTACAGGCTGTTTCAGGGACCAACTGTGGATCCCTGCTGCAGGTGGCCCGCTGCGCCCAGCTCCACCTGGGTTTCTCCACGTTGCCATAAATATTTTGTTGCTCTCTGGGACAAAACAAACAAAAACCAGACCTCAAACTTGTCCTTAAGTCTCACTAAGGAGAGAGATTGGGAGGGTTTTTGGGGGGGCGGTCAGAGCTGAGGGTTCCTGCCTCCTTGCGGCCCTGGAGCAACTAGTATCTCTCCTTCCCTAAATTATTGGTCCTTGGAAGAGGCTGTGCCAGACCAGCTCTCTCCCACTCGGTGCCCTAGTTAACCCTCCCCCCAGGCTGCCCCAAGACTAGGAAGAGAAGTGAGCCCTCTTTCTCCAGAACCAAATACTGGCCTCAGGGGTGGGGGCAGTTCCCAAATGGGCCAGGGTGGAAGGACTGGGCAGCATAGAGAGAGACCCCTTTGTCTTTCAACCCGATTTTCATAAAATGCAAATTCTCAACAAGCTGTTCATTGTATGGGGGGGAGCCAAGGGCGGGGGGGGGGTTGCTGAGTGGGGAAAGGCCACCAGCCCCTTCTCCTTGACCTGGGTCTGTGTCCCCACTTCTGAGTGCTCAGGTCCCCCCAGGCCAGAGGAAGAGCCCCGCGGAGGGGGAGACTCAGAGGGCGGGCGCGGCTCGCATCCTTCCTGCCCCGAGGGCGCCCGGCGACCCCTCCCACCGCGTCCGGTCCCGGAGAAGTCCCGGGAGCCGTGGCCTCGCGCCCCGCACCTCCGATGCGGGACAAGGCGGCAGGCCCGGAGCCCAGCAATCCGGGCGTCCCCTCGGAAGGGTGAGCTCTCGGGAGTCCACCCGCCTCCCTCTCCCCCCGAGGCTCTGAGACCTCAGCGTGTCCCGGCGAGCGGCGGGACCGCAGCCCTAGGCCTCCCCGCTCCAACTGGAACAGCCCAGGCGAGGGGTCCCGGGGGCCTCGAGACACCTGGGCACGGGGGGCGGGGCACAGGGGTGCTGAGGGCCAGATGGAGCGAGCAGTAGAAGGGGGTGCTCGGGGAGGAGAGGAGCGAGACGCGACGGCGGCAAGTGGGGAGTGGAGTGGGGAGCCGCGGAGATCGGAGGCGGCGTGGAGGCGGGGGCCGCGGCGGGGGGAGGCTGGCGCCTTTGGAGGAGAGCGCCGAGGAGACTGACCGAGGGAGAGCCGGTTCTGAGCGTGTGGGTGGGGAAGAGCGGGCTGGGGAATTAGGTGGGGGACGCGGTGGCCCCCGAGGAATATGTTGTGGGGTCAGCGGGCACAGATGCGGGATGTTGAGGGGCTGAGCAGGTCTCGGGGAAAGGACACCGGAGGGTACCGAGAGCTGGGGGGCCGTGGGAGTTGGGGGGGTGGGGACGCACCTTTCGGCGGGGCAGAGTGCCCCCGGACACGGCGAGCGCGCGGTACAGCTCGGCCGGGTGATAGTCCTCCAGCGCCGCGTACAGCTCGTCTCCGGGGGCCCCAGAGCTGGCGGCTGCAGCACGGGTGCCCGAAGCCGGGGTCGGGGCTGGAGTGGAGGGAGCGACTTCCGAGTCGGGAGCCCGAGCGGCGGGGTCCGGGGCGGCCGCCGCCTCCTCTTTCTGCTGCAGCTTCCTGAGTCGGCGGAGGGTCATGGCTCCAGCGCCCGGCGACCCTCGGAGGCGGCGCTCGCTCCACGCTGCGGGGCTGCCAGGGGCTCGGGAATGCCAGCCCCGCCGGCCGCGGGTCGCTTCCCTTTATAGGATCGGCGAGCTGGGCGGGCTGGGGGGCGGGCAGGGAGCGGCCTCGGGTGGCCTCGCCCCGAGAGTGGCAGGCCCCGCCCCCCCGGGGGCCGCTGCCCGGGAGCCCCGCCCACAGCGTCCGACGCTCCGCCCGGCTGGGAAAGTCTAGGGACCTGAGCACTCACTAGGGCAAACCTAGCCACCGAGGAGGGGAGCAGGACATCCTCGGGCCGGGCGGGGGTCTCCTGTGTGCGAGAGGAGACTAAATTTAGAGAGGGATGGCTTTGGCTTTGGAGATTCATGGAGAATCTGGTGGTGGGGGTACAGAAAGGGGTCGTTGTAAGAAGGTTTGGACGCTCAGGGAAGATTCTAGGAGATCCAGGGGGCTGCAGGAGACTTTAGGCAAGGGGAGAGTGGCTGCGGCACAGTGCAGGGGCAGGGGTATGGACAAGGGGAGGGGTGAGGTCCCAAAGGAAGTTAGAGATACCCCTGACTGTGCAGAAGCCCCCTGGGAGTGAGGGCCAAGGATTTTCCCTTTGCACAGCTGCCCCAGAAGAGGTGAGAGAGGCTCCCTGCCCTTCCGCGCCAAGGGGAAAGGGAAGCAGTGGAAACCCAGCAGCCGTGGGCGTGGGTGTAATTCTGGCCTGTCCCCTCAGAAGGTCAGGAGTTGTCCTCCTGGATAAACCTTTCCCCAGCTCCTGATGTTGGAGCTCAGACACACCTTTTCCCAGCAGAAAGATCTTAACTCTGTGTTGATTCATGGGGAGGGGAATGTGTCTGAGCTGAGTGGGAGCTTAGGGCTGGGGGTTGTGCTCCATCGTTCTCTGACCCCGTCTTTGGGACCATCCCCTCAGCACCCCCCCCCCCCCCCCCCCGGCTGTGTTACCGTGGCTGCCAGGCAGTGGGAGAGACTGGGATGGCCCAGCTGAAGTCTCTGTCGTCAGAGGTGCCCAAATAAGAAGTGAGAGGAGGAAGTGGAAGGCCAGTCTTGGCGTCTAAAGAGCAGCTAGCCACCACAGGGCGTCAGCACCGCAAGTTGGGGGCCTCCGCATCCCACCATTGGCCACTAAGCAGAGGCTGGGGAGGTACTGTCCCCATCTGTCCCCTTCTTCTCCAGTCTTCACAAATCTGTATGATGCCTTTACAGCTGACATTTATCGAGCAGTTACCATGGGCTGTCCATACTGCATGCTGTGTTACAGACATGTCTTAACTCACTTGGTCTTCCTAACGACGCTGTGCAATCGGTACTTCACAGAGGAGGAAACTGAGGCCCAGAGAGGTTGAGTAACTCGCTCTAGGCCACTGAGTGGCAGAACTGAGACTCGAACTCAGGCAGCCTGGTTCCAGAGCCTGCGATCCTAACCCTATGTGATGCTGTCTCCTTCAGCTCCCCATTCACCCTACATTTCAGCCCTGCTCCGGGCCAGGTGCTGGCTGGGCACTGGCGTTACAGAGGCTCTGGGTCTGGTTACATGGTCACACGCTGTGTTTGAGGGCCGGCACGAGGAGTAAGGAGAGGCAAGTGGCCATATCTACCTGGAGAGGCCAGGAAAGGCTTTCTGCCTCCTGTCTGTCTCAGTCCATGGGTGGGTTTGTCTCAGTCTCTGTGCTTCCGTGTCTCCTTGACTCGTGTCCCTGCCCCAGCCCCAGGCCCCTGGGGCCCCAGCCCCTACAGGAGGTGTGGGTGGGAGGGGTCCTTCGCCACCCTTCAGTAATTAGCACAAGTCCAGATGGCAGGATGCTTGTTGGGTGGGGGTGGGGGGGGCAGAGGGTGGATTGGGGACTGCTGGGAGCCAAGAGCTAGCTCCCTTAGTACCTTCCCCTTCCTCCTCCCACCTCCCCCTTGGCACCACCAAGTGGCCATCAGCTGAGGGGCCGAGGGGGTGTCAGTGGGGAAACATGGGACTGTATTGTGAAGCATGAGCACAGATGGACCCCTGGACCGTCTGCTGCCTGCTCCTGACAGACGGCATCTATGGTGCGGGTGGGGGTGCGGTGGGGGATGGGGAGGCGAGAGGCAATGGTTTCTATTCTCTTCACTCCTGTGGCTATCCCTGAAGGGACCAGCAAAAGCGCACCTTGCACAGTCTCTTGTGGGAAGAATCACCACCCCAGCTCTCGCAGAGGGTGACCTGACAGACACGGCCTTGTCTGAAAGCTGGACAGGTGGACGCCTCGGGCGTCACGGCACCTGTGTCTCAAGCCCTGTTAAAACATTCCTCCTTCAGGCTGACATGCAGGCCGTCTGCGGGTCAGTCTGCCTTTCTGCCTCTGAGTGAGGGCACAGCACCAGAGAAGTGAAGTTCACACAAGTTTCCCCCTGTTCTAGGCAGAGATCCAGAGAACCCTGGAGTAAGGGTGGGCCCAGGAGATGCAATTTCTGTGAGGCTCATTGCACGATCTCCTCAAATCCTGGAACTGGAGAGCTGGAAAGGAAGGGCCTCATGGCCCGGTGATGATACAAGGCGGTCCAAGCACTCATTGAATGGAGGAGGTAAACTGAGGCCAGGGAGGAAAGATGGCGGCAGGGCAGGCACTAGAACCCACTAGATCCAAGGTCTCCTGACTCCAAGGACTATTTAATTCAGCTGCTAGTAGCTCCCCTGAGCGCTCAGAGATCTGTGCCTGCTTCCTGCTCCCAAACTCATTAGTTTCTCCCAGGAGGGGATGGGGAGCCCAGGACGCCACACTATGGGGTGGTGATGCCCTCTGGTGGCCATGTGTCTCTTGCTGGAGAATCTTCAAACGAGAGAGAAGGGCTGTCTGGTTAGTGCCAGACTCCACCTGGAATCTGAGCAGGGTTTGCGGAGCTCCCACATCTCCTGTCCTGCGCCAAGAGGGTCTGTGTCCCACTGAGATGCCACGCTGCACTTTGGTGGCCGAGTTCTGGAGTCTCGCCGCTCTCACAGTTCGGAAGTTATGTTTTTGCTCTCCCCCAGAGCTGCTGTGCCGCAGGTAAAATTCAACAGAGGGCAGACAGCTGGTGGGCCTCCTCTGTGCCCTAAACCTTCACATGCCAGACACGCGGGGTCCCTGCAGCTTTGCCTTCTCCCACCCTCCGTGACTTCCTCCTAAGCCTGAGTCTCTTGTCTAGCATCTGTTCTCCCCATCCTATCTTCCGCAGCTCCTTAAAGTTCGGGGGCGGCAGGGAGGATGCGGAGGGGGGAGCATGCCGCACGCTGCCTGCAGCTGCGAGTTAGGACACCTACCTCCCCGAGGCCTCCTTGCAAAAGCCCCAGGCTCTGGCTCCTCAGACATCTGCACTCAATCTGTATCTTATCCCTGAGCCAGTCTGTCTTTCAGAATGAGCTCCCCAGCTTTGCTTACTTTCGTTCCAGCTGCCCTGGCTCTTAGCTCTCGGGATAGGGCTTGCTGTCTGCGGCGGGGGCTCCGCTCATGGACAAGGCCCGAGGAAGACCCCTTCTCTTTGGGACAAGCCCCTGCCTGGATGCCTAACAGTCACCAGTGCCCGGTGGAGGAAGTGGGGAGAGCTGAATGCTGTCCCCACCGATGGGCTCAAGCTCTAGGGTACCATCAGGAAGTCAGGGCACTTGGGGCGAGAGCTCCAGCAGCTCGGGCCGCTCTGGAGTCTAACTCAATGTCAGCTCCGGCTTCATCATTTGATCCCAGAACTGGGAGGAAGAGGAAGAGGTCACTGAGACTCCTCTCTGGGTCTGATGCTGCTTCTGAGCCAGGGAGGTGGGAGAGGGAGGGCCTGGGACTCAGCCGGTGCTCTGGTCAGGAATGAGGGCCCGGGCCCCCGCACGCATGACACGAGGGAGGCAGAGACAGCCGGTGGGCAGCTGACTGGGCAGGGAGTGGTGGTTTTTCTTAATGGCTCTTATTGCCCAACAGTTTCCACTGGATAGTGTCTATGTGTGGTGCTGGGGCCCAGGGGAGCCCAGCAGCAGGGAGGATCCAGCACAGCCCAAAGAGCCGATTCCGGGGGGTCTGGGAATAAGGGCAAAGCAGATATGGCAGTTTATTTGTGTTGGATATGGGTGGCCTCTGGGTCTCATCTGGCCAGAGGCCAGGGACCACCTTGCCTCTTGGATGGGGAGGGCAAGGTGTCTCCGACTTAAACAGATGAGACTGACAGAAGAAGGGAGGGGTAACTCCCCAGCTTTCCTCACAGCATCCACACGCTGCTGTTAGGACACAGGGTACATGTTACTTTACCCCGCCTCATTTCGGAACGTGTAGACAGTGAGGGCAGAAAATGGCAGTTCTTGGGGCCTCGGACACCCCAGCCCTCCTCCCTCTTGGCGCAAACAGCTGTCTGGTGGCTCATCCCCGGTTCCCTCTCCCAGGGGACGGTGTGGTGCATCCAACCCACCCGCCACTCCAAACTGACTTTTTCCTCACCTGACTCCGAAGTCAGCCCCCCTCTTTCCCTCCCAGTCCGCACCTGGTTATGCCCCAAACCTGTGCGTTCTACCCATGGGCTCTCCCTTTCCTTCAGCTGTTCCCGCTCTCCGAGGTCCTCCTGGCGATCTTCCCCAGCACAAGCGGATCACCTCACTCCCCTGCTAAAACCTGGCTGTGGCCTCTTCCCTCCATCGGGACGCAGGAACCTCAGAGAGGTTTTAACTTATGGGCAAGTCCACATAAGCATGCTACTGAGAAACATTCGGAGACCGAGCCAGACTCGAGAGGACAAACCGCTGATTTGCACAGTCTGAGGTATCTGTCACGGGTGATGGCCTTGGTGGCCCCCGGGATGAAGTCTCTTTTGTCTCAGCATGTGACACCCCAACAGGCTCCCTCGCTCTAGCCATAGCTGAGGACATCTGTAGTTCTTGAATGATGACACACTTTTTTTTTTTTTTAAGATTTTATTTATTTATTTGACAGAGAGAAAGAGAGACAGCGAGAGAGGGGACACAAGCAGGGGGAGTGGGAGAGGGAGA